GTTGTGGTGCCAGACGGAGGCGCACAAACGAATGAGAAAGTAGGAAGAAAGTCGGCAGCAGGAGCTACCTCATCCCGGACCTAGAGTGATGGCAAGAGGCTTCAACCTCCGACAATCTAATTGGTCAGACGGAATTGTCCAATGACATGACAGTGACCTTGGAAATACTAGTCCACTTAACAAGCAATCGGCAAGCTCAGCTGATTTTTCTATTAAACTAAGCTTGAAGACTATCAATAATTCAGGAATAATAGCCTCGCTAGCATAGATCGTCTACATTTTCCCACATTGAAAAGGTTAGGCCTCGCGGTACCATTGAGTTTCAATGAGCCCTGACTCTCGAAAGCTGGACCACATTTTCGACCTCAATCCCAAAACAGGCAAGGCTAACGATTTGTGAGTATCGTGGTTTTGCAAACCATAATACTGCACAGCCAACTTTGCCAATGAATCACAAGACAGATGCGACATTCAAGGCAGGACAAGGCTCCCCTAAAATCACACTTATAAGTAGATTTTCGGCTAAGCATACATATTTTTGCTGTTGTAATAAAATTTGTTACTTATATGCGATATAAGTAGGCTTCGAGACTATCAATTATGATATATATGACTTGTATTTATTGAGCTTAATTCCATTTCGAGTTAAATTATTGAGTGAAGAGATTCGAAGGTAGGTTCCACCAGAAGACGACGGCGGATTCCTCTTGACCAGCTGTCGATTGGCTTTAGTGGGACATTTATGCTGACGAGGCAATCTCCTTTGATTCCGGTGAAAAGTTGCTAAGCTTTCATCCGTCATATGAAGGACATCATCAAAGCGAGGTATCATCGTCACAACAAAATTCAAGCTAACGAGCCAATAAAACTCACTGGCAAATCCCTAAAAATTGGTATATCTACTCTACATCTGTCCTCTTTGATCAAGTATAAAGTTATTTGGTTAGTTACGATCATATGCCAACTTCGATGCATGTGAGTGTGTCTGTCTCTGTATTTGTATGTGCCTGTTTGGGTTCGCTTATGCACGAAACGCGAAGTGATGTCTCAGAGTAATTAGGGCAGGGAAAAGGAACGTCTGCTTTTGGCCATCAAGGTTTGTTGATCCCTATCTCCCCTTTCTACATACATGTTATGAACATCACTGCGATTGCGCAAGGTAGGACGCTAGTCTGGTTTTCTTGATGAGCCTAATTTTTTGGTTTGCTCTCAATGCGAGAGGGAAAAAGTGAGCTAAATGTACAGAGAATTGACTATCATTAGAAGCAAAACAAGAAAGGACTAGTTGCCTCGCCTCCTTTTCGCAGGCGGCTCAACTCCCTCTCTATCTATTAGTTTGTGCTTAATCTATTAGTTAAGCACAAATAATTTTTACTTATCTTCTTGCCGGTATTCTTTACATTCACGGTATTTCCTAATCGGTTTTTTTCTATGGCTTCTCTAATTTTACGTTTAGCTGCAAACATGCCATAATCAGCAAAACGACAAGTTTGAGACCATTCAATCTCGTGTC